GTCTAATAAGAGAGAGAAACAGAGTGGGATTGTGGTGCTTCTCTGCTGAAATCTGGGCAGGCAGGTGAAGAAGGGGATGCACCAAGGATCAGCCCTTCTCAGGGACCAGATCCCAGGGATCTCAGTGTAAAACTGCCGTTGCCATCTGTAGGGTCAGAGCTGTGCTTTGGTTTTTTTGTTTTGTTTGTTCTGTTGGGGTTATTTTTGGTCACAGTCAGTATTTTTCTGCCTTAAAAAACTCCTGCTTTCTAAAAGAAATATATTATGGCAGAAATATAATATATTATGACAGCCTCGTGCCAATGCAAATTCCTGAAGAATTTTAGAAAGCATTATCACTTCTGATAGGATTTTTGATCCCAGAGATCTGGCCAAGAAGTTTTACATTTATAATGTTAGAAATCTAAGGAGTCTTCATAGAAAAACAACTCTCTTCTGTCATATGGATTTCAAGAAACAAAATTCAGTAACACCATATTGCTTGCATTCCTATAAATTCAATGTTTTATTTTCTGTAGTTACTTCACCAAAACAAAACCAGTCATTCTTTCTTTAAGTAAACAAAATAAGTCAAAAAAAATCAATTTTTAGGAATCACATTTTGCACTTTTCTGAGAGGCTTAGTTGCTTCTTTGAAATGTGTTAAAAAGATAAAAAATTAAATTCTGAGCATCAAATAAATGAACTGATTTGGAATATGCCCCTTCTTCCCTCTGTTTTTCCTTAGGAGAACTGAAAGGTTTTAGTACATCAAAGCAAATGCTCAGTGTCTTACAAGTTTCTACTTCGAATTCGGCATTTTCGTATTGCATTCCGCAGAAAGCTCAAGAACCTCCATTCAGAATTTAAATTTAATTCTTTTGTGGAGATTTCAGCGGATACTATTGGCTTTTGTATCACTTCTTCCTACTTAATAAATGCCAAGATGGATGAGCAGATTGACAACTTGCAACCTCCTTTGAGACTTGCCACTGTGAGCCGGGATCAAGAGACAGCCCAGAATTGCTGACTCAGCTGTTCTTCCCAACAAGAAACCCACACTCCTGGCTTTTCTTGTGAACTTATATTTAGCCTGAGATTTGCAGTTTAATTTGCAGGTACAAGATGGCCAGATGAGTTTTAGATTCATCCAAACTGAAAACACAATCAGTTGTAGGCTTACAAAGGGTTGGATACGTTTCAGCATCAGTAGTAGTTGGGGTTTACTCAGCCCTGTGAGCAGATCTTGCTTTTGGGCAGGGGGAGGCTGCGTGAAAGCAGAATACAGAATTTTCATCAACTCACTCTCCCGCTGGGACACGTCCATATGAGCTCAATGCGCCCGTTGATGAAGGTTTCTGCAGTGCATTCCAAACTGAGGGTTTGTCCAACCAGCAGTTTTTTGGGAATTGCTTTCAGATCCAGGTTCTGTACTCTGCTCTCTGAAATGAGAAAAAGCAAAGGTATAACCACGCAGCACTCTACGTCGATGACATTTAAGATGGAATCCGCACTCCAATTGCCTCTCCAACATCTGCTCCTTTCACAGTTTCCAAAACACTTGGCTTTCTTCTCTCGTTTCTATGGAAATTGTTGGAAATGCCCACACAATGGAAACATTAGGTCAGTTGTATAAATGCCTGAACATCAGCTGATCAAACTAACTGATCACACGTGGACACAGCAGTTTATGAATTACTTTTCTTGCGTTTGCCGTGTTCGGCTCCAACGCTCGCTCATCGGCTCCACAGTGCTTCTCAGAAAGGTTTTTGAAGTGACTCATCCTTTTGAGTGCCTCAACATTTGCGTATCTGCGAGAGGATTAACTTCTGTGAAACACGAAACGTGTTTCTCCTGCCTCTGATGACCAGCTCTCTTTCCTTACTGAATGGGATCCCCAAATCTTGCTCCTATACATGTCTTGATGCCTTCTATACATCGGCTCTGAAATGAGCCTCCACCCTGTTCGTGGTGCCCCACGCCAAACACACGTCTGACCACCGCAAGTCATTGCCTGTGTCCTGTTGGGCTAGAAAGGGGTGACCTCATGGGTTTTTTAGCTTTGCATTCATAATTCTGGAAAAAATAATTACTCCAACAATGAAGAAAGAGAGAGAGGGATTTACAGGACTTTCATTTGGCTGCCATACAAATTTACAAGCCTGTTGTTTAAAGCCAAGTGCTAATTGTATAGAAGGATGCCATGAGCTAATGGGAATGAAGTCACAATAAACTCTCCTCTGTCAAAAATGTAATATATGAGGGGAGAAAGAAAACACATTGAAAACAAAGGAAAAATAAATTCTAATTGGCTTCATATAAATCCCCAGCACTCAAAAATGTAATGTTTAGTTGCTTCAAATTCAGATTTGAATTCTGAGCTGAAGCTCAACTGTAAATACAAGGGAAAGGGTATAGTAAATCGCCAAGAAAAACCATATAAAAATGCAAAGAAGTGAATTAGCAGTTTAATGAGATTTTTATACCATCGTCTTGTGTGTTTAATGACCAGAAGCAAAAAGAAAGCTACTGCTTGGTTTATCCTAAACCAGCAGTCGTTTTACTGTAAATACAGCTCAAACCAAGCAAACAAAGCCTTGGTGGGGTTTGACTAAAATACTCCTATTTTGTACCACCTCAACACTTGGTAATTTTTCAACTGAATAGGAAAAAAAGGGAAGAATGAGTTTGCTTTTAGCGTTCCAGCTTGGACTGGCTACAGAGACATACCAATGAGCTACATCAAATATAATTGAGGCTGACCAAGAAATAATACCCAGGAGCTTAGCTAGGAACTAGAAACATTGTGGTCGCTCCTTGGCACACAGTAGTCACTCACCCAACCTCTGTGCCAGGTAGTAGGAGGTGAACACGCTTCCACTGACGTTGGCAGTGCATGTGAGTACTCCAGAGTAAACAAAAGAATGAGAAGGGATGACAAATCCTCTTCTGGGGTCCCACACCATTCTCTTGAAGTTCATCTCTACAGAATAAGGATACTGAAAGAGAACAGACAGATTGGAGGCTTGTGAGACGTTCCCTTACCCCTCAGACCATAGAAGTAACCAGCCAAGGCTGTTCTGCTTTAGAGGCAAGGTAGATATTTGACCTTTCAGAGTGGTTGGTGGTCTCATTCCACACATATCTTAAGCAACATCAACATAAGCAAATAGAAAAGCCCTCCCTAAGGTGTGACTGTCTTTGAAATCCAAAACTTGGATGTAATAACTGAAGCTTTTGATTCAGTAGCCCCGCTCCTTTCAGATCTTAGGCAAGACACCATGCTACCCATTGTAGGTCCCGTTTCCCTCACTCTTTACTGGAAATAATTATGCCTGTCTTATATGAGTTCTGCAGGGTAATCTTCTTGGCAGTGTTTAAGAACAAAATTTGCTTCCCCTAATGCTACATGTAGCTGCCACATGTTTTCCTGGGATCTCACAGTACTTAAAAAGTTAGACCCCCAAAAAATCAATGAGTCATGTCACTAACTGACCTGACGTCAGTCATCTATAAGCTGTGGGCTAGGGCTTGTCATCACCTTCTCTCTGTGTCACAGAAAGGGATGAGACACTTTCAGAGCAGCCTATCGATTTCCACCAGGCACCGAAGCAGCATGGATGGCTCACGACGGTAAATCGTAGGATGGCAGAAATGAGGGGACTTAGTAACGTAGACATTTTTTGTGCTGAATTCAAAACCACAGTTGTAATGTTCTGAGATTCTTGAAAAAACGGTGGCTGTAAGTTCTGCTTATGAGGAAGAAGTGAGGATACGAAATGTGGAAAATAAACTAGAGCAAAAATTAATTTAATAAGAATGAACCTTCTGTATACGTTTGGACAGCACCAATGCCAAGCAGGTTAGCTTTGGTTGGTGGGAATAGTTTATTATTATTATTAACACACAGGGAAATTGTCTGTTTGCTAGAGAAAATGCAATTTATTTTCCACTCATTTTGAAAATCCTGGATTATAAGGCAGAAAAGAAATAAGTGAAATGAAATGCAGACAAGGAACTCAGGAGTCTGTAAAGGAGGAGGTCACTGCCATTGCCCCGGTTCAGCCTGTTTGCAGGCACAGGCTGTAGGTCTGACGGTCCCGGCAGGTCATGGGAAGGCCCTTTGGGACTCGGGGTGCGCCGTGGGGGTGTTGAGATCACTTTTGGCTGAAAATGAAGGGCCTGGGGAAGCCTCAGTGTGCCTACACTTGCCCCATGGTAGCTGACTCCATTTGCACGGAGCTTCTCCCTCCTTCCTACCATATACTGGCTTCTCAAAGGTGAGGCAGGTCAACGTTTGCCTTTCCCTTGCTACCTTGTTTTAGCTTTCGGAGCTCGTCAAGGGAAGAGCTGCTCTCGGGACTGCAAGTGGGAATTTCCCCAACAACGTGATAATTTTGCTCTCACTCTTGGTGTTACGCAGCACGCGGTTTATTTTTCCGTCTCCAAACAAACAGCAGTCTGGTGTGGCAGTGAGGTTTAAATAGGATTCAGTTTAAATAACAGTTCTGTTCCGAGGAAATTTCAGCTCCGGGCGTCGCGAGCGGATGCTCGTACCTCTGGTGTGAACACACCATTGATCGGGTTGGCATTGGTTCGGGTCGCGTGTTGTTACGTGTTCAGCACAGAGCAAAGGCAAAGGAATTGTGGCTGTGGGGGAGCAGGCACAGCCAGGCACTAGCTTTGTTTGGAAAAGGTAGGAAACGTGGATTTCATGTAAATACTTTTGAAGTAATCAAGCTGTGGCATCTCTGTTCGGAACCATTAGGAAAATTCAGGAAAATTACAGAAAGAGATCTGAGACCTGAGGCTTAATCGTGCTTTAACACCCATGAAGGTCGAAGCTGTAAGTGGCAAATGCACAATGAACCAGACCAGTGACTAAACAGATCTGACAGACTGAAAATACCTGGTTTTGTTGCCCTGAGTTAAAATCGTGTTAAGCAAAAAAGAAAAGTTTGAAGTGTGTGTCTTAGCATGGGTTTATTAACAGCAAAAGTGATGTGTAGGGTTAGCTGGGATCTGTTTAGTATTAGCAAGAGGTACCTCTCTCCATACATATTTAAAGGCCAGAGAGTGCAATGATTTTAAAGTCTAATGGTAACATAAGGAACTTAATTTACGGTGGAAAAAAGTACATTTTCTACAAGAATAATAAAATGTGATAAAGCTGAACTTCATGGTTTGGCAGCTCTGCTCCCTGACGGCTAGGGGAAGGGGAAAGAAAAAATAGCCCTACTCAGGAGGCCCTTTTCAACACTACACACATCTTAAACGTCTTCATAAAATATTCAAAAATATATATTTAAACAATCAAACAAAAAGCGTCAACGCTGCTTGAAGGAAATCACAGCGGCTTTCCTCCCTTTGAAGTTCGTTGTCTATTGGAGATTAAATTTGGAAGAAGAGGATGTTCTAAATTTGTCTGGTCGCCTTATTCACCTCTCCCCCCCATCCTTACCTCCACCCGCTCCCGCCCCGCTTCCTCTTCGCACGGGAAGCCGCCACCTCGGCTCCGCACGGCGCTATGAAATTCCCGGACAGGGCAAAACAAGCAGTGACTTTCCATGGATGGAGCTCGGGGCCGGCGGCTCCCGAAGCCAACAGATCCCTCCCGAAGCCAACACATCCCTCCCGAAGCCAACACATCCCTCCCGAAGCCAACACATCCCTCCCAAAGCCAACACATCCCTCCCGAAGCGCATCCCCTTGAGCACTCCCAGCTCACAGCCTCCGGAGGGTTCCTTCAACATCTCCATCCCTGCCCTGCGCTCCAGCTGCTCTCCCTCCGAGGGGAAAAATCTTTTTGGGGGACAATTTCCTTTGCAATTCAAAAAGGAGATTTCAGTAGAGATCTCATTCCAGCAGCAGCTTGCAGCAAGGTAAAGGACTTCAGTTTGTGCTTGAAGAAATGACCGGGAGAGAATTTAGGTGGCGAGCAGGGAGAGCAGGGCTGCCTATAAATAAGGGGATAAAGGTGGAGGTCTGCTTGGTCCAAAGCCACGTTTAGGCTCATGTGTCTGTACCGAAGTCGGCAGCAGCACTCCAGCAATGAATTTGGTTGAAGTAGGCTAAAATAAGATGGGGATGCTTCATTTTTATAGCCAAGGAGGAGAAGGTGATAACACTTATCCTGGCTAAAGTGATAAGCTGTAACTGCAGAGGAGCCTTATTCCCCCTCCCTCTAATCCCTGCTGACAACATTTAAAAATAGAGATCTGCTAAAGCAATAAGGCCAGCGCTGTCCCTCGGCACGTCTACTGGAAATCTGCCATCGGTCTCAGCAGGAGCCGGAGCACTCTCTCAGGCCTCCGTGATTCCATGTGCTGCCTCCCAGGAGGAGACATCCTACAACTAAGATCTAACTGCTAAGAGGAGCAGAGGTCCTCAGAACCCTCTACCAGCACAGCATCAGCCCATCTAGGTGTGGTCCACCAGCACACCGTGTCCAGCAGAGCAACCTCATCTCTCCCAGCCCCTCCAGAACGGGCTGGGGAAGAAGGAGCAGAGGCAGAGGACGAGCTCTTGGGTAAAAGGCAGGACTGGAGCCAGGAGACCTTTGTTCTGTTCCTCACTTGGTGACAGGCTTCTCTGTAGAGCAATTCTAAAGCCCTTTAGATGAGTGACTACATCTCCATCGATTGAGGAAGCCCCAGACCTTAAATTTCCATTTTTATTATACAAAATGGCCTTGGCCTCCACAGACCGTTCTGTAACCTTGACATTCAGGTGTAACTGCTGCTGAAGGGATGGATGCTGTAGCCATTTATTTCTGAGGCTGAAACTTGCTTTAAATTTATGAGATCAAGCAGAAACAGGCAACTGTTCTGAGGAGGTTCAAGGTATAAAAGAGAGAAGCTTTCATGAGGATAGCTAATAGCCAGGTATTATACAAAGAATTTTGAAAAAAATTATGTCTGGTCATCTATCTTTGCCAATTTATGGAGGAACATCAAGCCAAAGGATGAGAAAAATATGTGATAAACTCAGTCTAATCCCCAAAACACCCTTGTACCCAGTTCAGTAGTATTATACTGCAAGAGCAGGACTGTGCTCCTGGATTTTCAGTCTCTTTGCTATTTTTTTTTTCTGAAACTTACCTAGCTTCATACATTTTATTTTGTATTTTTACCCACTGTGCTGCAGCCCAGACCTCTGTAATTGACTGAGTTTCTCTGAAACACTTACCTGGGTAAGCTTAGGTTTGATGTCCGGCGAGGTAACTCGGCAAGGGATAACAACCGTTTTCTTAGCATCTAAAATGTAGATTATTTGGGGATGTTCCGGGTGAATCTCCACAAATGGATTTTTGTAGTCTGCAGGGAAGAGAACATTGATTTGCAAAACTGCTTCTTTACTGATCGATGACCAGAAGAGCACTGTCATCTGAGCAGCCAGCTGCCCGCAGACAGCTCACTGCAGCGTGTGACCACGCATCCCGGCACATCTTGCTTGTTTGCAAATGCCAGTGTCATTTAGGGATTATAGCCCATGGCCAACAATTGGAATATTTGGCCAGTTTGCAGTGTAATCTTGTAAAAACTCCTTTTCTTATCCGTTCCCCATCTGTAAAAATGAAGTTAATAGATCAACTCCACAGATCCTCATGGCACTTGAGTTAGTTCTTTCCCCAGTGCTCTGAATTTCTTCTGTAGGTGATACTCGACCTCAGTGCTCGTGAATTCAACAGCAGCTAAGTGTTCCTGTGGGTTTAGAGCAGTTAAGGGAAATCTACTGAAAGAAAAAAGCTTCTTTCTGTGAATTAGAATCTCTAGAATACTGCAGAAATCGTGCAAAAAGGGAATGGAGACCCGCGATATTCAAAGCCAGGCAAAAATAATCTGTTTACCCTAACAGTGAAGTAACTTGGTCACGCTCCTGGGGAACTGTGGGATTTTCTACAGATCTGCCACAGTAAATCAGACTGGATATAAATATACAATATAAATAAAAAAAAATCTGAGGTAGTTTAAGTTAATGGAGCTTCTGAGTCTCATTCACTGATTTTTCATTGCATGAATACAGTGATGGTCATCAGAAAATTAAAATAATGTTTGTGAAATCCTAAAAGCATCAAGATTTTTCTAACAAGCATTCTTTGACTTGATATTCTTATAGTAGAAAGTTTCGAATACCGTTCAGCTAATGCAATACCAGCTACACCACACAGCGGAGGCAATCACCTGCTTTTGGTTTGGATTCTGCTGTTGGCAGGAAAGGATGTGCACCCTGTACAATAACCTCAACCTGCTTATCCTTGGCTTGGGACCCACCTCCACACACTTAATTATATTTTGGAAATGGCTTCACCTACAGCATGGGAAATAGCTGACATGAAAGGTTTGTGAGCAATCTAGGTTGCAAAAATGTGCTCTGAAGTCTTCTGACAGTACTTTAAAAAAAAAGATGTGCTATGAGGAAATGAAAATCAGTTTTCCAAAGAATGCTTAACTATTCCCAAATGGGCTGAATTGCTACGGAACACAGTGAACCAGGGCTGACAGATCCATCGCTGTGCATTGGTAGGAGGCCTTCAACAGTGGCCAAACATTTTATGGCTTTGGAAAAGGGAAACACCTATAGTGTAGGTGACCTGTTGTATAATGAGGGAAAGCATCCTTCTTGATGAAGATCATTAATGTACTTCCTGAACTCCCCTTGTATCCTCATGTCATGTTTCCTCTCTGATTCCTGATGTAATATTAAGGGATTTTTAATAGAGAAAAAAGTCAATTACTTATTGCTTAGTGGATCTCGCCTCGCTGTCTCTCCAGAAGTTGCCCAGAACAACATGCCTCTCTGCACATACATGAAGAAGTCCACAGGCTACCAAATCAGGATGACCATGCCACCTGAGCTGTCTTACAGCCCCTCTGTTCAGCATGCACCAGCCTGGCTCTGCAGCACGGCGTGAGCATCTCCAGTAAGGGCTGCGTACACCCTCACCTGCCATCAGACATTTAGGAAGTTTCAGATACACATCTGAACTTTCTGGTTAGGCAGCCTTGAGCTGAGAAACCTGATCTCCAGACCACAACTTTGTAGCTTGTTCCAATCCCTAAACCTAATATGAAATATTTATGCTCGATCCAGTGTCATATGCAGTTTCCCAAACAGGTCTGCTAAATTCTTACATTGAGTCACGTTATGAAAATTTGTTTAGTGTTTGTCCCAGAGCATCAATGCTACATAATGCCTCTGCAGTCTTGCTCTCCAGCTAAACCATACTTGGAGGTATCAAATGTGATATTTTTATAGCCAATTTTCAATCCTGTGCAAATGGTGAAAGGCATTTCTACTTAAAAGAAGACCCTGGATAATTAAAAGGAGGTCCTTGGACTATTTGTTGTAGGAAAAAGTAGTAGAAAAAAAGATTTGTGTATATTTGCAACAAGCACTGGGAGTGCAAAAAAGTGTAAGGGGAAATGTGTTAGTATCTATTTCTAGTCTTATGGAGAAAAAGAGAGAACAACCAATGTGCCACGTGCCAGGAGGACAGGATGAGAATATAGGCCAAGAGGAAACATGCTATGAAAAAAGGAGCTTCTTGATAGCAAACTATTTACAAATCTGGACCAAATTTTGACTAATTGTTTTGACTGAAAAGATGGGAACACTGAATTTAAAAATATTTGTGCCAGTGTTTTTAGAGGGAATTTCAGAATAGCACTGTTTGTTTAAAAAGTAATATAAATCAAAAAAGGACAGCTAAGCAAATGTTAAATAATACTAAAATGTCAGAAAATATTGAACTATGTAATGACTGAAATATCTTAGTCACAACAGAGTAAAATTTCTCAAAAATATTTCCTGTTCAGGGAAGAAAAAATAATTATTTAACCCCATTCTCCTCCATCATCTCTCTCTACCTCCAAGACTGACCTCTACCAAATTTTCAGATTCACAACAGACCTAAAAATAATCTACTTTTTCAGCTGTAAATAGGACAGATACTCATCATGGTGGTACCTAACTGCTGAGGAACACCTGAATGGGAAGAATGAATTTACAGTTTGGGCTTCGCTCCAGCTGCTCTCCAACCCCGCGTAAGCCGGAGAAGCCGACCCCGCGTGTGTTGGGAAGGAGATGCTCCAAGCAGGAGCACTTCCCAGGCAGCTGGACTGTGCACTTAGCAGATAAGCAAATATAAAGGGGCTCAGCTTTGGATCTTACCAAAATGACAAAGAATAAATACTGAATAGGGAACTAATCACCTGCCAGCTGATACCTTTGTTATGGTTTGTGCAGAGAAAAAACTGAATCCTTCAGGCAGCTCCTAAGCAGTTCAGGCTGATTGCAGCATGGAAAAATGATCTGCTGGAGCATTGGGAGTGTCACTGCCAGCTTTACAAACGTGTTCACCACCTTAAGTTAATCAGCAATCAGTTAACTCCTTGTAAAAAAGTCTCTCAGAGACAGAATTTCTTGAAACAAAAGGGATGGGGTCGCTTTGCTTTAAAAATGATAACCTTGGCCTCGAGGAACATCTCTGATTCCAGATGGTGTGAATCAATTGCACTCAGCCGTTGCAACTGGGAGAGCTGTGGCATGGGGAACGCGGGTGTCATCCTCTCTGCCGTTACCAGCACGCAACTCCGGGGGAAAAAATGGCCAGCAAAGAAACACTTTATGAAATAGGATATTTCCCTGTAGCTTGGCACCGCTGTTCCTCCTGAGCTGGGAAGGTCATGTACCCCGTGAATCTTCCCCGTAAAGAAACACCCATCAATTCCCATAGGGTAATGAAAAAGAATAATTCACCGTGGGCTGCGGAGCTCATTACCCGGGAAGAAAGACAAGAGCTGCAGCACGTTTAGGGACTTATCAGCTGCAGCACCAGCTCCGAGGCGAGGGAAAGGGCCCTCCCCTCGGGTCTCAGACTGGCTGGCTGGCTCTCCAGGTCAGTGGAAGTTTGCAGGAAACTGCAGCCAGGCCGGGGTGTTACTGTTTACCCAGCACGGCTCAAGAGGGAACACAAACAGCAAAGCGGAGGAAGCAGAAGCAGCGGGACCGTGGAGGGGAGGGGAGCCTGTGGTCCAGCTGCAGGGACAGGGACGGGCAGAAAAATCAAGCTAAAGTCACTAAAGCGACTCAAAGGTCAAGTGCCTACAAGAACATTGTTTACTTTCGGGCAGTGGAGCCCTGGGTGATTAAATTCTCGCTGTGCCTAGAAGGAGGGAGATTAATTGCTGCATGCGAGGAGCGTGGGGAGGGTCCCTTGTAACTCAGCGGTGTCACAGCGGCTGCCTGGGGAACAGTGTGTGAGCACAGATATGGGGCTGGTGACATCTGTCCTTTTGTGTAGTGTTATCTGTAGTACAGGTGACTATCTACCAGGGAGTGGTGGAGGTCTGTTATGGTGTCATGCTCCCTTGGTGTTGGAATCCTGCTCCCCGGAGGGCTCACGGCCCCATCCTGCCAGCTGGGGATCCACCCCAGGACCTCAGCGTGTTGTGGATTCAGGCTCTCTCCTACAGCTCTTTACTTTTCAGCAGTGTATATCGCCTGCTTGCGTGTTCAAAACATCCTCCTGAGACACACTCACAGGATTTTGTACAGGATTTTGGGTGCTTTTCATTTCTGCTCGTGTTTCGTACACCGTGGTGACAATTTGTCTCATGACGTTTGTGTCACAGCTAAAGCTGTGGAGGTAACATCACCTCTCCCTTCAGATACTATCCATCAGCCCACAGAGATGATAAGCACTAAATGGACTTGAGGACAGTCATCCACGGCTGTTCTTGTCTCTGAAATTCCTGAACGTTCTCATTTGGCTTCTCACTTTGCTCCAACTAAAGATCATTCTCTCACCTTCACCGTTGGTTTTCTTTATTCAGTCATACCTTAGCAGGGAAGTCTGGGCAGAGTTTCACAGGTTCTTTAAGTTCATGTTTTGACATAATCCTCATGAAGTTTGTCTTCATCAAGGTCAAAATCACAGAGAGGAGGTTTATAATCTCTTCTTTATGTTAATAGGATCATTAGCAGTTAGGTGATACTTTGGTCAGAGCATTTTGGAAAGCTTTAGAAGGAAGTTGCCCAGTTTGCTGTATTCCTCCTGGTAACCCATCAAAGCTTCTTCTAGGTACAGGAGTAACTTCTATAGAGTCACTTGTTTTGAAACTGAGTCTTTGAAAATAAAGGACTTTTCAGTTGGCAGGCCAATGAAAAGAATTGGTGGTGGAATGTTTAGATTAAACAAAAAGCAGAATATTTTCTCTTCAGGCAAACAAAAGTGACTGCAAAACCCCCAGAAGCCATTCTGAGTCAACATGAAGCATTCTGTTTTGGTCAAATGAAATACATTCTTCCCCTG